TAGACTATGAAACAATGTGTTGATCAAAACTGACATACTGATTATTTGGTGGGGTATTTTCTTGGCAATTAGTAAAATTTATTATGGAATGGTAGAAAAAACCCCACTAAACTGGGCCTTGTGAATCCTGTGTTCCCACCTCTGATCCTTTTAAGCTATGTGACCCTAAATAAATATTCTCCTCTTTACCTCCATTTGCTCATCTCCAAAAATAAGGTTGGATCAAATCTTTAAAAGTCACTTTCAGTTCTGACATTCTGAGATGCTACAGGATTATCCTAGTGCCAGAATAACATGTAACTTCATACATTTGGTTCCTACTCAAGGATTAAGTATTCTAATTTACAGGCCTATGTTTTCTTAATTAAAAAAAAAGATCTTTTAGAACCACGATATTGTTTTCTCTACATTTAATATTGATCAAATGCAGGAGAGAACCACATCAGAGGAAGTTTCCCACAATGTAGGACTTCTTCATGGAGGCTTGTTTTCTCCAGCCAGAGATCAGGAATTTAGAGTTGAAAGGTACCTCCAAAGTCATTGAGTCCATCTTCCTTTTACAGAGGGAAAACTAAGGCTTTGTTTAAGTGACTTGCCCAAGGTCACAAAGGTAGTAAGTGGCAGAGACAAGATTCAAACCCAGGTTCCCTAACTCTAAATCCAGAAATCTTTCACTGAATGACATATGTGTAACCATCGGGATACATGGGTTTCAGAATGGACTGATGGGAAATTCTAACACTTCTAAAAATTATATCCATCCTATATCTTTTCTTCCTCCTATAACCATCTCCCCTCACCCCCACCCCAAAGGCTAATTCTTAGGCTCATGCATGTCATCCCACCTTAAAATATTAGAATTAGAAAGCATTTTAGAGCCAGCATGATATAGTAAATAGGGTGATAGACTAACCCTAGATACCTGTGTTCAAATCCAGTTTCAAGAATTTGTTAGCTATGTGACTATAAATAAGTCACTTAACCTTACCATCCCTCAACTCCCTCATCTGTAAAATTAAGCTAATACCTCCTGGGTTGTGAAGAACACAGTTCATAAATCTTAGAGTGCTATAAAAATGGGATTCCGTAGAAATACAGGCTAATTGCTCATCTTACACAGCACCCCTCCCCAGAGGGAAAAAGACTCATCCACCCCCCCAAAAAAAACCCCAAAATACTACCCAATTAGGTAGTGGCAGAGTCAGGACTAGAACCCAGATCTCCTGACTTCTAGACTTCAATCTTGGCAAACACTAACCCTGAGGCTTTATCGCCTTGAGAAAAGAAAATAGAGAAAAAGATAAAGACACACATACACACTCATCAGACCAAGAGGGAGATTTTATTGCAACTTACCTTGAAGGAATACTTCTTTCCTGAGTTCAGGAAATATGCCCCAGAAAGCTTGCTGTACAGTTCTAAATAATACATTCAAGACTAGCTGTCTTCAACACAACGGTCCTTGTGACACAACTGTACCTGGAGCCCACTCACATTACCCTAAGAGTGGCCAACAAGGCACCTCAGTAATCTTTGTACCTGATTGCAACAGGTTCAAAGGTAGAAATTACCTGTTCAAATAGCAGTGGTACACTTTAGCAAGGGAGAAGTGCAAAATTTGGCAAAAGGACAAAAAGGGAGATTGTTATGCAATTACTTCCCAAAATATTTTTTTTAAAAAGAGTTCCAGCTCTGAAAGCTAACATCCAACAGAAAAAAGCTTTTCTAAAGCTAAGCTATGCCTTTGAATATATATATTTTTCTTCTAGTGGAATCTTTAAGAAACTTTGATGAGCATAAGTGTACTGTGGGGAAGAGGAAACATCTTTTTTAAATTTAGAAAAAGCAACAGAATGTGAGAGTCTAAGAGGTACTGAATAAAAAATGACAAATGAGAGCCCCAAGAGCTGAATTTGAGTTCTGACTCTTCTCTTAGCAGCCGACCCTTAGGCAAATCAGTCATTCCCCCTCTAGGACTCTAGCTTCCTTTCTCTAAAATGGATAAAAATGTTTTCAATGCCTTAACTAGTTGTTAGGAAAAAATGTTTTGGGAATTGTACAATGCTAAATGAATGTGAAATGATTTAATTATTATGAGAAAGCTAAATCATAGATTTAGAGCTGGAAGGGGCTTTAGAAAGCATCTAGTTGACCTCCCCTCCTTTTTTTTTTTCTGCTAACAGATGAGGAAACTGTCCCAGAGGGGTTAAGTAACTTGCCCTGGGTTACCAAGCTAGTAATTTCAGAAGCAGGATCTGAATCCAGATCTTCTTGACTATCAAGCATCCTATCCCTTACTGCTGCAATTAATCTGACCATACATTAAAAAAGATATATTTTTTATTCTTGTTGAACCTTTGGGACAACTATAATATCCTTCCACGCCCTTGCACCTTACAACAAAGCATAATTAAAGCTAACCAAACTACGCCATACTGTTCCTCTAACATACAAATTACAGATAAGTGTATGACTTAGATACTAGTGTCACCCTTCTAAAATGAAACTGTGACCGTCTTGGAACTAGGTCAGTGACTGTCAGTGTGAGAAGGTAACAGCTGCTGAATCCTAATATTCCCTCCCCATCACCATCATTTTATATAGATGTGGAAATTAAGGCCCCAAAGAAGGAATGTAATTTTCCCAGCTCCCATTTCCATGCCTCTGTACAGGTTATGCCCCACCCACAGGCTTGCAACTGATATTTTCACTTCTACTTTTTAGAATTTCTTTTATTGTTCAGTCATTTCTGTCATGTCTGACTCTTTGTGACCTCATTTAGGGTATTCTTGGCAAAGATCCTAGAATGATTTGCCATTTCCTTCTCCAGTTCATTTTACAGTTGAGGAAACTTAGACAAACAGGGTTAAGTGACTTGCTCAGGTCACACAGCTAGCATGTGTCTGAGGCTGGATTTGAACTCAAGTTTTGTTTTTGTGTTTTTTACTCCAGGCCCAAAGCTCTATCCACTGTACCACCTAGCTGCCCTTGGAATCTGTAGTTTCCATCAAAACTCAGTTCAAAGGCCACCTTTTAATAAAGGCTTCTCACTCTGGTCCTTCTACCTTCCATTATCTTACTCCTATGCCTTTCTGATATACTGCAAGATAAAAACCTTCATCTCTATAGATAAACATCATGTAGAGAAAAGAGAATTTCATCCATTGAGGAGAGCCTCTAGATAACCCTTGTGAGTCTAACAGCCATATTTTGCTGCTAGATATAGAGGATTCCATTTCTTTTTTTTTTTAAGTGAGGCAATTGGGGTTAAGTGACTCGCCCAGAGTCACACAGCTAGTGAGTGTTATGAGTCTGATGCCGCATTGAACTCAGGTCCTCCTGACTCCAGGGCTGGTGCTGTAGCCACTGCACCACCTAGCTACCCCCAGAGGATTCCATTTCAATGTATAGCCTAAAAGACTCCAAGGAGTAACAAGGGACTTAATCAGCTCTGTTGCTGCAGGGTCATCGTTATACTCCCAGCAAAGGCTGAACAGTGTACTGAGTATTTCCCCCATTTTTTTTAAAGCATTTAGTTTTTGTAAGCAAGCACGCAATAAGCATTTACTAAGTACTTAGTGTGTACCAGGCACTGGAGATACAAATAAAAGCAGAACGACAGTTCCTGCCCTCAAGGAGCTTACATTCTAGTGGGGAAAGACAATGCATAAAAGAAAGCTAAAAAAAAGAGAAAAGGTAAGGGAGAGAGGTGTAGGTACCTGATACTGGGGTGGGGACTTAGTAGAGAAAGTCCAGAGAGTCATGAGGACAGCCTGTAAAGGAATGAAGATGTGGTTGGGCAGCACTTAGCACAGTTTCTTGCGCATAATTGGCATTTAATGTTTGATTAATTGGACATCCTCCTTAAAATGGAGCTATTGGGAGGAACCAGCTATTAAGAGGGAGAGGCCACAGAGGTGGACAGGATTTTCATCTTAGAATCCAATCTCATTTCCCAAAGAAATTTTTATCTGCACCTGGGGAATGTCACAATATGACCTATGGACAGTCATTATTATCATTAAGATTTTCAAGTTGGAAGACTATGTAATGCAATTTTCTCATTTTATAGAAGAGGAAACTTGCCTAGAGAGACTGATTTATTCAAAGTCACAAAACTACCCGACGGTAGAATCAAGATAAGAGTCAATCACAGTCCTGTCTCTCAGTTCAATTATAACTATGCTATGTAGCCTAAGAGTTTTTATTAGCCTCTGGCAGAAGTCTTGCGGTTGTGAGGGACAGAAGAATTTTGGGATGGTGTAGACCAGAGGTTCATGAACTTAATATTTTAATAAAGATTTTTCAATGTAATTGATCTGTTTTGTAATCCTACTTACTTTATGAATGCAAAAATATTTTGAGGAGTTCATAGGCTTCACCAGACTTCTAAAAGAGTCAATGCAGTCAGTCGGTTAGTAAACATTCATTGAGCTCCTATAACCTGCCAGGCACAGTACTAAGTACTGGGGATAGAAAGAAAGGCAAAAGATAGTCCCTGTTCTCAAGGAGCTTATAGTCTAACTGGGAAGACAACACAAAAACAACTAAGTACAAACAAGCTAAATACACATTAAAATGGAGATAATCAATGAAGGGAAGGCATTAGAATTGATGAGGATGACCCAAAAATGGTTAAGAACCCCTGATGTAGAAGACGTGCTAGGCTTGAAATCAGGAGATCTGGGTTCAAGTCCTGAATTGCCTGGGGTCATCTAGTTCTTTAAACTCTCTGAATCCCAGTTTTATTAGTCTGTCAAATGAGGACAACACTTGCATTGCCACCTTTGTCTGAAACCTCGAAGGAATAGTCATTTTCTAGTAGGTGTCAAATAAGTATTTATTGGGCAGTTTGTACATTTGCCATGTATTTTTGTTGAAACTCCTAGAAAGAAGTTTTTGTTTGTTCCTACTAATCTAGCCACTTAGATCACACTGAACTCAATGTTAGAAACATTCATGCCACCTCCTGACATATCCTGGTTGGAGATAATGATGTCTTATTAGCCCAGAGTCTAGGATTAAGCTGCCTAGAGTCATAATAACTCCTTAAAGTTCTTCAATATAGGGGCAGCTGGGTGGTGGTGCGGTGGATAGAGCACCGGCCCTAGAGTCAGGAGGACCTGAGTTCAAATCCAGCCTCAGACATTTGACACTTACTAGCTGTGTGACCCTGAGCAGGTCACTTACGCATTGCCTAGGCAAAAAAAAAAAAAAATCTTCAATACAGTCCTAGTTTATGAAAGAGAAAACACTTCTAGGGAGTCACTTAGGCCCTGGAGCTGGGAATGCCTAGTTAGATTTTATTAAATGCCAAATTTAGCAAAAAAAAAAATCCTATAAGTCATAGAATAGAATTCCATATGAATCTGCTCCATGTGACCCCAGTTGAAGGGGTCCAGAGTTCTGTTATAAATTGTTCTCACCTAGAAAGGTACATCCACAGTATGGTACTCAGTAGTATCATAGGGTTTCCAGGGATACTGAAAGAAAGGGAAAGATGGGAGGCAGTTCTGTATATGATGCAATATGTGTACCTGTACAGTTTCCTTACTCTATTTCTGCCTCATAACAACTACAGGAAATCCTTCCCATGCAGTCATTTTACAGATGTTATAACTGCAAATTGTAAGATGCTATATGGATGTGAGCTGCTAAATACTTGTCACATCAACACGATGCAGGAAGCATAAGCATTATCCTACTTTTTGACCTTCTCTCTGTTTTCTTCTACATATTTAAAAAAAATACTTCAATGAATCTATCATCAGCTCCCTTCTACTTTCCAATTCTGCCCCCATTGGGGAAAAAGAAAAAGAAAATCCTTGTAACAAAAATGCATAGTAGTGCTCACTTCAGCAGCATATAAACTCAAACTGGAAATCTAGAGAAGACTAGCATAGCCCCTACACAAAGACAACATACAAATGCATGAAGTCTTCAACATTTTTATATATATAGACAATAGATTACATGTATTTTATTATATATGTTATATATAATATGCATTTATATATAATATATCTATCTTTATCTCTATTTATATCTCTATCTATATATCTGTATTTTTTTCTCAATCAACAATCATTTATTAAGCAATTATGTTCTAGGTCAAGGGTTCTTAAACTTTTTGTGTCATGGACACAATTTTTTAAAATACATTAAAAAAGAAACCAATTATACTGAAATACAGTTATCAAAACACAAAAAAAGTTTATAGACTCCAGGTCCTAGTTCTAGGTTACAAAAACAAAACTCACAGTCCTTGCTCTCAAAGAGCTTACAATCTATTATTGGGGAAAACAACACGTATATTATGAGGTACAGCAGACATGAAAAAGAGTAAAGTATAATAAGGTTGGAAAGGTATGTTGGGACCAGGTTGTGAATGGCTTTCAATGACCAACAGAGAAAAGTTTATATTCAAACCTAAAGGCAACCAGGAGTCTGGAATTTACTGAGCAGAGTAACATTGTCAGTAACTTGGCTAGCTGTATGGAAGATGCATGTAGCCTGGTGACAGAAGGCCCCCCCCCCAGTACAAAAATATACCCTCCCTTCATCAGAGATTTATTTGGAATAAGAGGCAAGAGAAAAAGCAGGAGGTAGATAGTAAAGACCAAGGAATAAAATTTCAATTTCATAATTCAGCCTTGGTTCTTGCTAACAACTAATGTATCACTGAAAATTCTTTCCAGGTTAGGAAAGCCTTCATGTCACCTTAGTAGCATGGGCTTTTATGGCCCATTCAGTTCTGCTGCCCAATTTCTCACCTTCCCAGGAGGCCATAAATACAGAAGAGCTGTAGGTCAGCTGGCCAACCCTCATAGGAGCATCATATGCCTGCCTTCTTTTTTAATTTTTTTATTATTTTTATCTTTGGATTTCCTTGAAAATCTCTTAAATCTATTCACCAGAATGCAGGGCCTCCCATATAAGATATATATTTAAATAAACATTTACAATTAATACACTAAAGAAACTTGTGGGTCAATCCTAGTTACCATTAGCATGAAGTTTCTATGGAACCTTAACATAATCTGCAGCAAAAAAGAAGTGTTCAAAGTCTGTATTTTTAAAAGGTCCACTAGATAATGTGTTGCGAAGAGGAATATAGGGCCAAAAAAACAATACCAACAATCACTGAAAAGGAACCAGACTTTTGTTGTCTCCAGCTGCTGTTAGGTAACAAAACTAATTAACTCACTGATAAATCTATTTTCAGGGAATGTACTTGAAAGGAGAGAGGTGTGATTTCTCCTCTCTCTTCTTTAGGACAGAGCTGGAGCATTCTTTCATTCAATCATCCTTTCTTTACAGAGAAATGCAAATCAAAACCACATGAAGTTTCAACTCACATGCAGCAAATTGGCAAAAGTGACAAAAAATGGGAATAGTCAATAGTGGAGAGGTTGTGTGCATTGTTGGTGAAGCTTTGAATCACTATAACCATTCTGGAAAGCAATCTGGAATTCTACAAATTAAGTGGCTAAAATGTTATATCCCAGAGCCTCTATCAGTAGGCCCAAATGTGCTTCTTTTTTTTTTCTAAATAGTATTTTATTTTTTCCAATTAGATGTAAAGATGGTTTTCAATATTCACTTTTATAAGATTTTGATTTCCAAATTTTTTTCTCCTCCCTCCTCTCCTCCATCCCCAAGAGGGCATGCAATCTGATATAGGCTATACATGTACAATCATATTAAATGCATTTCCACATTAGTCATGTTATGAAAGAAGAATCAGAACAAAATGGAAAAACCATAAGAAAAAAAAGAGATAAAATAGTATGCTTCAATCTGCACTCAGACTTCGTAGTTCTTTCTCTGGATGTGGATAGCATATTCTATCTTGAGTACCCCAAAATGCTTCTTAATACATGATACCAGCTCCTTTTCTTTGCACCTTTGTATAGGCTGTCTACCATGCCTGCATGCATTTCTGGTTCTTAGAATTCCAATCCCTAGTTTGAGTCAAAGCTCAGCTCAGTTATTATCTCCTCCATGAGGCCTTTCCTACCACCTGCAGTTGTGATAATGCTTCTCCCTGAAGTTACCATATATTTTCATGATTTCTAACTTGAAAAAATATAAGCTCCTTGAGGACAGGGAAAGTACATAATAGGTACTTACTAAATGCTTGTTGCTTGATATGTGGCTTTTTCCTGCATGCTAGTAGCATGAGCTACTGATCCATATATTAGAATGGTAAGCATTTTTAAGGGATCAGTAGAGATTCTCATTTTCTCATTTTTCATTGACTTTATATTGCCAAGAGAGATCAAAGACAAATTTACCCTTCTAATCAAATCTGTGCTCAGAAGAAGGTACATAGCACATCCTATGTGCCCACACATGAATTTACCCAGGTTTCTAAACATTTCAGCATTGCAGTGCTCAGCTAGCGTTTAGGGATGGGGGAGAAGTACACTGAAGAAAATTAGAATTAGAATTGAGAAAAACCAGGATGCTAGGGGTCAACATCAATTTTCAAGAGTAGTTACAGTCAATGTCATATGGAAGCATCAAACCAAGTCTGAAAGTGTCAGCCAATGGCAACATCCAGAAAAGACATGAAATATATATTTCCATCGCTTTATTTCTGACTGTTTGTATCTGTGCAATAATGCTACATAAAAAAGTATAGGAAGGGTCTACTGACTTTAAAAGTGTTCTTTTGAGTTTGCTACCTGCTTGCCAAAAGCTAGGATGCTTCAGGCTCTTGTATAATTCTGAGCAGAAGCATCCTTGAGTTTTAAAAGCGTTAAACAAAATGGAAAATGCAGCATAATACTGAGGTGGAAGAAGTCTGTGTTGGTGTTTTTTTTTTTTAATAAATTTATTTTAAAAAAATTTAAAAATTAAAAAAAAGTGTGGAGGGAGGGTGGGGAAGAGGAAAAATTAAAAGTTATTCTATGTATCTTTAGTGATTTTCATAATTAGGTTGCTATCCAAATCAAGTGGAATTAGTGGCCACAAGTTATGTCTGCATTGACCTTTCATCTCTGTCATGTGTAAAGTACTGCTGAAGTTTAGCCCTTCACCTATGCACAAAAGAAATGGGATTAGGCTCCTGGCGCCCTCTTGTACTGGGCTGTAATTGGAATCAGTCTCCACCTTTCCTCTGTTAATGCAGCTGATAAAGGGCCAATGTGAGATTTCACTAGGTTAATGAAGCTCCAGATAAACTTTGAAGGGCCAAAGTTCCAATGTCATCATCTTTGAGGATCTAGAGGTTAGCATTCTCCCAGGAAATATGAAACCAATATGGCAGATTGAAAATTAAACTGAGATAGCTACTTAAGCTGCCGTTCTCCTTCTTTAGGAAAGGGAAGGGGAAGGGAATAAACATTTACATAGCACCTACTATATACCAGGCAGTGTGCTAAGTGTTTTTAACAAATATTGTCTCATTTGATCCTCACAATAACCCTTCAAGGTGGGTGCTATTACTATCACACTTTTTCAGGTGAGGAAACTGAGGCAAACAGAAGTTAAGTGACTTGCCTAGGTTTTGACAGTTAATAAGTGGCTGAGGCTGGATTTGAACTCAAATCTTCCTGAGTCCAAGATCAGTGTTCTTCCACTGTGCCACCAGCTGAAATCCTCTTATCTGCTAAGACAGCCTTCTTTTTCTGAGATCACTTCATTCAGCAGAAAAGCAGAGACTTGTAGCAAGTTCCTGTTGTGGAACAAAGCTCTCTAGATCTGCCTTATCAGTTGTCCATCTGGTTTGGGATAGGCTAACTATACTTGTACTATGACACATGTTCTTTTAGAAGATTCTATGTTCCCATTGCTCATGGAGGGACTAAGTTTGCCTATAGCATGTCATAGCTACACAGAAAGATTCCTTTCCTAAGCACAAAGCCGAAGTTACACTTCTGACAGTAACTGATCCCTATGAGTCCCTTTGCAGCCATGGCTCTGAGATGTCTACTTCACTGATCGCTCAATTGGCCATAATCCAACTTTGTTTTATGCAGGAAGGAAGCCTTGCCCAAGCACAACCATGTGTTTTGACAAGAACTATTGGTTGCACAGATAGCAAATATAGCAGAGGAAACTTCATTTTCTGGTGGCCTTTGAAAACTTGGTCCTTTATCAGTAGGTGGCTCCAAAGAGCACTTTGTGGAATCCGATGCAGGGTTGAAAGGTTACTGAGAATGTTTCCAAATTTTAAGCTCTTTGGAGTTGTACATGAGGTTTGAGGGTGCATGACAAGGTTAAATTTTGCTTTAAAAAGATGGGCAAACATGAGAGATAACTCAAAGAGAAAGTCTATTTAGAGGTGCTTTCCCTCCAATGCTTATAATTTCTAGTAAAAATCCAATGGAGACTCACTAAATTGTAGTTATTCAGGTGCACTTTGAGACCATGCCATCTTTTTCACCTGTGGTAATGAAGGCAGAAACACATTCTTGCATGTTGAGACAACATTCATGTGGGGAGAATGTATTGATCTTTGTGTAAAGAAAGGAGTTTTTCCTCTCTGACTGTAAATGCATCTTTGTCTAAAACACAGTTGGGATGGAGGTCTCCACTTTAAATGGTTAAAGCCACTTGATTGTGCATATCCCAAAACCAGCCATCTTCTTTAACAGTCAAGCTTCCAGAAAGCAATGTTAGAAGCATGACGCTGGTTTCAAATTCAAGTGTCCTTCCTGCTCACCAAGAAGCTATGCTAAGTTGAAATACTTTGCTACTTTTTCTATTTTGATAGTGTTTGGGATTTACAAAGTCTTTGTACCTATTTTCTCATTTTATCTTCAACTCTCTGAGCAGGTGGTATAAAAATTAACATTCCCATTTTTCAGATGAGGAGATTGAGACTCAGAGAGATGAAGTGGATTCTTGTGTGGGCTATTATATTGGGTAAAGTGAGGGTAGGTGTGATAGAGTGGAATCAACAGTAGATTTGAAGTGAGAAAACTGGCTTTTAAATTCAGCT